GCCTCACAAATACACTTCATTCTTTATTCCGTTTCTTCGGACAGGTTTTGATGTCTGTTGAATTTGTGTGCAGTAAAACTCAGCATCACTTGATCTCACATACGGATTCAGAGAAAGCTGAAAACAGTGAAATCAGCTGGTGAAGTGATTGGTTAGAARAAAGTCTTGCATTCTCGAGAAATGGCGTCACAGCAAAGTATTTAGAGCTTTTTTATATGTATAAACGCTGTCCAATGCCTGGTCCTCATCCCTTCAATTGACAAGATCAGTTTGTGCCAAAAAAAAAAAAAAWACAGGTCCATGTTTCCATCAGTGCTGTCCTCCACCCTTCACAGCCCACTTTGACTGGGTGTTGGACARGCTGTCAGATGCAAAAAGCTCAAACCAGACAGTGACGCTATCCACAGCGTGAGCAGCCAACTGCCTGTCGACTGAGTTTCATGCTGTAGGCTTCACCAAGTTGAGTACCGTTAATCCAGTGGAGAGCTGAAATGCCTTTAAGCCTGTCTTACAACACGGCAGCTGGAATTTATATTAGAGGATTCATTTTTCTTTGAATTTATCATTTAAATAAAAACAACAAGCATTCCAAAAACTTACTGTTTCATTAATTGGCAACTGGGAAACATGAAATGAATTAATTTAGATGTATGTGTGTTTAAGTGACCAGACTATATATTTATCTAAAGCAGCTACTATTAATGTCATATATAAACTTTTTCCACCAWCATGAGACCAATGCATTATTTACACATAAATATGTTTAACTTTCATGTGTCCCATTGCACTGTTTGTTTGTGATAAAGCACAGACACTCAGCTTTGCATGCCTCAAGCTCTCAGTAACATGTCTTCTWATAAAACTCTCAGGGATTTTGCTCCAAGGATTAAGTCTTCTGATTATTTTTTTTCTGACATGATACAGACTCGAGTCCTTCACAGCCTCCCAGCTTTAATTCAAGCACACTCCTAGCTGTTATTTAAAAATGTGCTTTAACTCTACCTGARTTTAGTTTCACTGGGGAGATGCTGTTGGAGTTAGACAGGAGGCTTCGAGTGTAAATACGCCRGAACTGCAGCTGCCAGAAGCGATGGAAAGGAACTGTTCGAATAAACGAGAAAAGCTGTGATTACAGGAAACATTTAAGTGAAGTGGAATCAAAGGGTTACACATTATAGTGGTGTTATTGTTTTTAAAATAACCTATGGCTTTCAGGTTACTAAAGGACTGTTAAAGTTARGGTTTATTTAATCAGGAAGAAAGCTGCCATGGGATTTTATTTGCCTTTAGAWACTCAAMGTTTCTCAGTCATTGCTGCAGACCYTTTTTAAATGTAAGTGCTTCTGTTAGAGATGGAATCCTCTGGAACAATTAGTTGATACTGCAAACAAATACTCAGTGTTTTACTGAAGAATCAGGTTATTGTCAAGTAGCCGTTTTAAAATGCAATAAATTCAGTTCTAACGGTCCAAAATTACTTTAAAAAAAACATCCAAAAACTGCCTGAAGCCTGATGATCTTTTGAACTAAYCCCTACTGTAGATGTTAGACCTGAGCAGGTTTAAGCACTGCAAAGATCTTAGAATATTTAAAAATGCAGTTAAAGCTAGACTGTGTAAACACAAATATCTACAAGAAATATAGGGTGTATTCACACAAGGATGGTCCACTTGTTTGGTCAGGACCAAATAGCGAATTTTATTWATTTTTTTCTTTTGGGGCGGTTTGCATTCACATTGTGCTTTTTGCAAGTGGACTATAATGTATAAACAAAGCCACGCAGGACGGTCATTAATCTCATTGGACAGAAATGATGGGGGCGGGTCAGAGCACAGACCTGGAAATAAAGATGGTGTTACTACAACTGACTATTAAGAACATGAAGAGCAGCTCATTCAGTGGCAGTTTTGTGATGATATAATTCTAAGTTTGGGATAGTGTTGGCAAATGCTGCAACCTGAAGGAGACGAGATGCTCCGTGTTCCCCAACCCACAACGGCTCATTGTTTGTCGCGCAGTGTTAGCGTTAGCAACACTAGCATCAGTGGCTCATGAAGTCCATAAAGGCTCATTTCCTGTAGTTGGTTCGGTTCAAAACCGGTCTGTATTCACACCAGAGTTCGTTTAGAAGAGGACCGAAACCACCTACACAGTGTACATATAAAAACTGTTGCATTTTGTACTGAATACCTTCACTGGAGAAACTGTAATATTTAATAGTAGAATAAACCTTTTTGTTAAGTCTGTGTATGGTATTTTTAAATGGCACAATAGCAAATTTATCACAAAAGGGATAGACTTTTTGTGAAATTTGAGGACACACATTTAAGAGATGAAGGATTGTATTTTCCACACAATGCAAAAACCATGAACTGTTTAAATTGTACTAAAAGAAGCCAGAACTTGTCTGAATGAAGCAAATTCAATTGTAAAGAAAGGCAAAATAGAAAAAAAAAGAATAACCAAGTCTTTTGTCTATTTAAACCATACACTCATGTTTGAATACATTTTTAAAATATTTAATTTGAATAGGAATGAAAGAGCTCGTGACTAAAGACCATTTTAGTCAAACTACACTAAAGCATCCATGCTAATAAGCCATTTTCAGGCAAGTCATTGCAGACATTTGCTCACATTAAAACAAACCACGAACACACCTTTGTTTTCCTTTCAGTGGAAAACAAAACTATGCATCAATGCCAAAGTTTATAATGAATAAAGATAGCGAAGGACAGTCTTTAAAAAACAGTATCTGGCAAGATGTGTGWAACAGCTTGTTGATGACAACAGCTGTTTCATGTAAGAAGCAGAGCCTAGAGAAAGTTTAATTTGATTGACAGTGGCGGAGAGGCAGACCAACTGCTGTTCTCAAAGATTTATGGAAATTTTTTTTTTTTTGCTTAGCCCTAGTTGGTACTACTGTATGTGATGCACTTTTTTTTTACTGAGCCATGACTAAAACTTCAAAGAACTCTTCTAAAACAAGTGCCTGGATTTCTTTTATGAATACGCACTGCAGGATGGTCACGGCTCACTCCGAAGCTCTTGTAGAAAAGCCTCTTAGAGAGCACTCGAGTTTTAAAATTCAGGTAGCCAAAATAGAACTGAATTATTTAAAGGGTTTTATTACTGAAGCTCTAGTCAAGAACGTCGTGATATTTATTACAACTGACAACTGAGGGGCTCTTTATGATCCCGACTGGGGTGTTGCTTCTTTGACTTACCCGCCAGACAAAATGTGCAACACATCCACAAAAATTGATTTCCTTTTTTTGGTAAATGAGCGTTAAAGTTTGAGAAATTCCAGTCAGAATTTCAGAAGTCATTTCTTTTTTTTWAAAGTTCTGCTGATTAAATCACAACACAGGGGTCACTTTTTCTGATAATCTTTGGTAAAGAAACTTCACGCACCCACGGCTATCAGCTTAAGTTATGTTTTACCTTTTTATGGGCTGTAATCCAATTATGCATTCATTTTTTTGCACCAATGCCATTGTAGTGAACCCCACGGGCTGTTTGGAACCACTGTCATAGCAGCGTAAACAAATTGAATTTGTGTAGCCTTGCTGACGGGTACAAACGGCAGCGTCCAGACTGGCTGGTGAAAATGGCGTCCCTGATGTTTAGAGCCCACTGGAAACATGGTTATTACAGCCAGAAAGAGTGAACTCGCCGCCTACAGTGGCAGCCAGCTTGTTTTGTTGTATGGATGATGAAGTTGATGTATGGGGCCCCTCGCATGCGCAGAACAGCCACAGTCTCTCCACCCGGTGATGAATTGCTTCAATACGTTGGACTATTGGAAAAGACCAGAGCGCACCAGATCTCATCTCAACTCCTTTCTATTTTCTTCCCATTTTCCATTTTGGCAGATCTCAAATAAATTGTATTGTTTTTCTTTTTAGTCTTGTCCTTGCTTCCCTTCACTCCTTCCGTGCTCCACCATCTATTCACTCGCTCCCTTTTTGTAGAACTTTTAATGAGGTAAAAGGTATGCAAGAGTGCACTGGAAACACTTGACAAAGCACTTTTGAAAGATTACGGCTGACTAACGGCGCGGCGGCGCCTCGCTGCCGTTGTCTCTCCCTCTTTGTTTTTATCCCCGTCTCTGCATCTGTCCACTTGAGAAAGAGGCTGCAAGAATGAGCATGGCAATGGAGGTGAGATTAAAATCGGATGTGAATTGGGCTGGAGATTGGTTTGCAGACTGAAAATGGAAGCGGGGAGAACACTGGGTGGACGGACAAACAGRGAGGGGAAGGTCAAAGTTAACAAGCCGGCGTGATGGCATGGTATTGGGAGGATAAAACTGACCGAGAATGAGGACCTTTTCCCTCAAATTTGCATGGAAAGTAACTTTATATGTGCACGTTCCCACCACATTACTAATTTAGTCGTTTAATGGCATCTTCTCTCTGAGAGCATCCAGAGACTGCTTTGAAAGCAAACTGTCAGTCGGTGTTTTACGTCACCCATTAAAGCACTTTGGGTGTTATGTGGCTTTCATCCCACATTTCATGTCATTAGTCACCTCTAAGTGAATTAGATGAGAAATTACCTGGTACAGGAGCCAAAAACAGGGTTTGCCACAAAACTTGGAGCACAATAATCTCTTCCTAACGACTTATGATGATCATGTTGAGGCCGAGTCTTGTGGAGTATTTATGGGCGTCTCTGGCTTATATTGATGGATGATTATCTGATGGTTTTATTGCTTTCTTCTCTATGCAAGTTTTCAGCATCAACAATGGTGAGCCGTTGGGCCGCAGCAGTTGTCGACTGCACTCCGTTTTCTCGTGTTTGGTATCAAATTATTTCCAAGCAGAGGACACGATCGATTGTTGCTGTAGGAGCTGAAGAGACTTTCCATAAAACTTTCATGTCTGCTTTCCACTTTGCCTCAGCAGGAGTCAGTGTTTGGGTTTTAGTTCTCATAAAGCCACCCTATTGATACTCTCGTTTATTTTAAACTATGCTTTCCTGTTTCTCTCTTTTCACAGTGGCAAACATCTTGTGGCGTGAAGAAGGTATGTTTGGAAAGCTCCTGTTCCTCCATAACATTCATTAACCTGAGTTAATTGAATTTGTGTAAAAGAGTTACTGAACTGTGATGAGGAGGATTAAATTATTTGCTACGTTTAATAGTAGATCACTGTGTTGCTGGTGACTATGTTCACACTGTGCTGGCTCTGGAGCTCTTTCAGACATGAACAGGGATGCTGTTCTTCTCCTGCAGGTCTTGGCATCGGAAACATGTTTTACGTGTTTTACGAAGATGGGATTAAAGTCATTCAGCCCGTGGCGTGTGAGATACAACGACACATAAAGCCCAGCGAGAAGCTTCTGTCTCTCCAGGTGAATGGTTACTAATGTTTTTTAAAATAAATTTCAATTTGAGTTTGTCTAAAAATATTTTCATTTTTTATCATTTTTAATGCCACAAGAAAAGATTAAACCAGCAAAATTCTGGATTGCTGATGTCATCTTATGGCATCAAGCTTGATTTATTTGGCCTTTTTGTTAAGATGCCAAAACTCTGGTGTAGAACGACACAAACTAGAGATGATCAAAACTTTTTATGGCAATGATTTTTTTTACAAAGAGATTTATTAGTTTTTCTTTTTATTAATAATTTCCCAAAACTTTAATATTGTTTAAAGAGTCCGATCACAAAATTACAAAAATATTAGGGCCACAC